CCTAGTGTCTCCGGAAGACAAGCACAGAGGTTACTGTGAAGCATGCACATGTACTAAGTGCAGGAACTCAGAGTTCCACGCAGCAGCTCCAGGTTACAGAAAGGGAGAGAAAATCTCTGTGGCAAAGAATTTCCTACTGGTCTAACATAAAATCCTGTTATTCGGTGGCTTCCGGGCGCTCAGTCCATCATGTTCCACCAGCACTGGAGAGCCTGGAGCAACTGCCTCCCACTGTGAGAGGGCGGCATCTCTGATGAGACCGCCAAGCTAAGGCCCAAGCCATGTCAGCTGGGACGCAGCCCTCAATAAAGCCCTTAGCAGCTTCTTACCGTCTTTTCCCTTTCGGAGGCCCCCTGACAAAGCACCAGTCCACGCTGATTGGCTGCCCCATCAGGTCCTGTCCATTAAGGCTCTCCATCGCTGCCTGGGCTTCTTTGTACGTTTCATATTCTACTAAAGTGTATCCCTGTGGGGTGGAAGGAGAGAAGACTGAGTGATCCAGTGGTGGTGGTGGGGTGTTAGCAAAACACATGAGAGGCTGGGCCAGCCTTTACGGCCGATTACAGAAACAGATCAAGAGAATTCAGTACACTCTGCTCCACCACGGAGATAGCTAAGCCGTTAGCAATTGCCTTTGTAAACTCACGGAAAACAGGAGGACTGGAAGAGGGCAAATATAGTCGCCATCCATAAATAGGGGACTAAGCACAACCAGGGGAATTACAGACCAGTCAGTTTAACTCCAGTACCCAGAAAGATAAATGGAGCATATAATTAAAGCAATCTATTTGAAAACACTTAGAAGATAAGTAACACTCAACATGTATACACGTGGACTCAGGTGGAGATGGATGTAGGAGACAGACTTGTTGAGAGTCTATGGGTTAGGTTAAAGGGGTAAAAAACAAGGGTGATGTCATGCTAGGGGTCTATTATAGACCACCTACCCAGGCAGAAGAAGTGGATGAGGCTTTTTTTAAACAGCTAACAAAATCTTCCAAAGCACAGGATTTGGTGGTATTGGGGGATTTCAACTATGCTGACATCTGTTCGGAAACTAACACAGTAGGGCACAGATTATCCAATAAATTCTTGAACTGCATTGGAGACAATTTTTGATTTCAGAAGGTTGAGAAAGTTACTGGGGGGAAGCTGTTCTAGATTTGATTTCAACAAATAAGGAGGAACTGGTTGAAAATTTGAAAGTGGAAGGCAGCTTGGGTGAAAGTGATCATGAAATCACAGAGTTCATGATTCTAAGGAATGGTAGCAGGGAGAACAACAAAATAGAGACAATGGATTTCAGAAAGGCAGATTTTAGTAAACTCAGAGAGGGGGTAGGTAAGGTCCCATGGGAAGTAAGACAATGAGGAAAAAACTGAAAAGAGCTGGCAGTTTTTTCAAGGGATATTATTAAGGGCACAAAAACAAACTATTCCACTGGAAAGATAGAAAATATAGCAGGAGACCACCTTGGATCAACCAGGAGATTTTACATGATCTAAAAATAAAAAAGGAGTCGTATAAAAAGTGGAAACTAGGTCAAACTACAAAGGATGAATATAAGCGAACACCACAAGTAGGCAGAGGCAAGATTAGAAAGGCAAAGGCACAAAACTAGCTAAATCTAGCTAGAAGCATAAAGGGTAACAAGATATTCTACAAATATATTAGAAGCAAGAGGAAAACAAAAGACAGAGTAGGCCCATTGCTCAGTGAAGAGGGAGAAACAATAACAAGAAACTTGGAAATGGCAGAGGTGCTTAATGACTTCTTTGTTTCGGTTTTCACCAAGAAGTTTGATGGTGACAGGATGCCTAACAGTGAATGCTAGTGGAAATGGGGTAGGTTTAGAAATTAAAATAAGGAAAGAATAAGTTAAAAATTACTTAGAAAAGTTAGAGGTCTTCAAGTCACCAGAGCCTGATTAAATGCATCCTAGAATACTCAAGGAGCTGATAGAGGAGGTATCTGAGCCTTTAGCGATCATCTTTGAAAAACCATGAAAATGGAGAAAGATTCCAGAAGACTGGAAAAGGGCAAAACTAGTGCCCCATCTATACAAAGGGGAATAAGAACAATCCATTAAACTACAGCCCAGTCTCTCTAACTTCTGTGCCAGGGAAGAGAATGGAGCAAGTAATTAAGGAATTCATCTGCAAACATCTGGAAGATAATAAGGTGATAGGTAACAGCCAGCATGGATTTGTAAAGAACAGATCATGTCAAACCAATCTGATACCTTTCTTTGATAGGATAACAAGTCTTGTGGATAAGGGAGAAGCAGTGGACAAGTTATACTTGGACGTTAGTAAGGCATTTGACACGGTTTCGCATGACCATCTTATCAATAAATTAGGAAAATACAACCTAAATGGGGCTACTATAATGTGGGTGCATATGTGGCTGGATTTTAACTACTCTCTGAGAATGGTTAACAGTTCAGAGTCATGCATGCATCTGGCTACTGTAAGATATAACAACTTTCAGAAATGCTGTCAACAATGACAGGAGAAATACCAACTTGGCAACAAATGAAGTAAATAGCATGGTCCTTTATTACAAATAGAGATACACACACACACACACACACACACTCTCTCCCTCTCCCTCTCCCTCTCCCTCCCTCTCCCTCTCCCTCTCTCCCTCCCCCCTTCACTGTTATGCCCCCTCCCCATTCTATAGGGCCTCTCTGAAGAGCTCAAAATACATTAGTTAAGACTAAACAAATTACTTGTGCCTCACAGGCCTCTGTCTGTAGTATTCTCCCCAATTTAGAAACACTGTCCCACAGAGCTGAAGTGACCTATCCTAGGTCACACCGCAATACCCTGTCTAAACTGGAGTCAAGAATTCCATCTCTTCCACTCTAACCACTAGGTTACACTATCCCCTCTCAAAGCTGGGAACTCATCCCTCAGAGCTCCTGGCTCCCAGCCCAGTGTTCAGTTTCTTTTCCTCTCCCAATTGCACAGGGGTAATTTCATCTGCTTGGAATCCTCACTTCTCTGCCCCCCCTTACCCACAGTATCTGAGCACCATGCAATCATGGAATCCTCACTTCTCTGCCTTCCTTACCCACAGTATCTGAGCACCATGCAATCTGTAAGGTATCTATCCTCTCTCTGTCTCTCACACACAAACACCCCTAGTGAGATAAGGGCAGTGCTGTAATGTCCATTATGCAGACGAAGCACAAAGACACTAAGACTCACATCCTCCAAGATATTCAGATGCCTCGCTCCTACTGAAACCAGCGGGAGTTAGGAGCCTAAATATCTTTATGGATCTGGGCCTAAGTGACCAGCCCAAGGCCACACATGGAGTCTGTGGCAGAGCAGAGAATTGAACCAGTGGCGAATGCCCCAATCACTCCTACCTTCAGGTAACCCGTTCGTCTGTCCAGATTCAAGTGGATGTTCTTTATCTCGCCGTACTCTGCAAACTTGTCGTGAATATCCTCTTCAGTGGCCTCCTCATGAACTCCAGTGACAAAGAGAATCCAACCCTCCACCGCTGTAGCGTAGGCATGCAAGGAAAAGCAACACTTGTTACACAGAACGCAGGGCTCGCTCCAATGCTTGACACATATCCCGCTGCGCACACGCACCCCCCCATGGAAAGGGAGCCTCCCAACACCTTGGCCAGACCCCTGGCTCAGCTTGGAACCCACTGGCAGTAAGGTGCTAATTGAAAATGGATGCAGACTCGATGGAGTGACTCTAAAGGCAGCTCGATAGCCCTGGAGACAGCCGCTCTGTTTCTGGTCTGGGCACAACGTACATATCATTATAATGATAATCCCTAATAGGCAGGGCTCGCCGAACCGTGACCACGGGTGAGTAGACTGTATAATTTGTCAAGCCCTGCTAATAGCGATGTGAGTAGTTGAGTATCTACTATGTATCAGAGGCAGCGAGGGAGGGACAGGAGCCAGTTCTGGAGGGAGCCAGCTTAAAAGCCGGTTCCCCCCATCACAATCTCCATGGTGCCACCTGCCCCACTCCCGCTGCTGCCTCTGGGGCCACTGGGGAGGAGAG